GTGGAGGTGCCGGGTCCCGTCATCGAAGTCTGGCGGGAGGTGCCCGTCGAACGGTACCCACACACACGCACACATCCATCCACTGTGTGTGTGATGCTGTCTGTGTCGTTGATGGTGCTGTCAGGGAGGAGGTCATCGAGCGGGAGGTGGAAGTTGTCAAGTCAGTGTGCACAACACACACACGACTGCACTGATTGAAGGTCCCTGTGTGTGTGCCTTCAGGTACGTCGACGTGCCGAAGCCCTATGAGGTGCCGGTCTACGATTACAAACACAACAAATACCCAGTGGTCAGCACACTCACACACACACACACACACAGGAGGCGCACCACACGCCTCGCTACCTCCCTGACCTCTCACCATGTCTGTCTCTGTCTGTCTGTGTAGGTGATTCCCCACGAGAAGACCACGATGCTGCCGCTCGGCCCCACCAATTTTGTCATTCCGTCGATCATCAAGGGCAACTTCACTTTCGACATACCGCCCGGTGAACAGCCAATGGGCTCATCCACACCGCAGCCATCCCTTTCGGCCACCGGTCTGTCTGTCTGTCTGTCTGTCTGTCTGAAGGTATGAGAATCACCCGGGAAGAGCTGGTGCATTACGTTCGGGCCACCAAGGGCATCGACCTCAATCAGTGCAAGGAAATCGCCCCGCCAATGCCGCTGCCCGAGGGGGCCGGTCAGCCACACACACGACACACGTGTCCACAATGATCCCCTTTTCTACTGTCTGTGTGCAGCGCCCACGTCTATAGAGGCCCATTTCGAGAGTGAGCCGCTCCCCGAGTACGTCAAGAACGCCAAGCCGTGGCCGGTGGATGAGCTGGGTCCCCTTCCGCACCCCAGCCAGATGCAGGACGGCCACACCTGGACCGGCCCGCCCGTCAAGGTGGGCGAGCCCATCAAGACCACACTGGAAAGGCCGCCCCAGGGATGGATCCCCAACCAGCACCAACTCAAGATCGTACGCGACACACAGACACAAATGAGACACAGCGAGGCGTGAGAGACACGAGTGCATTCCATTCCCTCTCTCTTTGTGTAGATGGCCGAGCACAAGTTGACCCCGGAGCAGTGCGGCTACCAGGGGCCGCCCATCCGCATGCCCGTGAGTGACACACAACATCACACAACACAGCAAACAGACACACAGGCAGATGTCACCTCCCATGTGCACTCATTGCTGTGTCTCTTCCCGTCTGTGTGTGTGTGTGTGTGTGTGCAGATGGTGATGGCGCCCCCGCCGCCCTTCCCTGGTGCTGGTCGTCCGTTTGCGCCGCCTCCCGCTGCCCCTGCCGGCCCTCCCATGGTGATGATGATGCGGCCGCCCATGATGGCCCCGCCGCCCGCACACATGATCGCTCCCAAGAAGAAAAGTAAGTGACCACACACACGGGATCGGCTGTGATGGGATCGGCTGTGATGGGATGTGCTGCAATGTGATGTGATGTGTTGTGGTGGTGGTCAGTATCAACGAAGAAGTCCTGCGGGGTTGGATTCTTCGGCTGGTTCACCGGCTCGAAGAAATAAACCAAGTAAGCGGCTGACCATGCAGCCACACCAGACAGACACACACCCCTACTCGTGCTGCACACACCCGGTGTCTCTCTCTCTCTCTCTGTGTGTGTGTTGGTCAGGAAATTCTTGTCACCATCACCACACACACGGGGGGCCTATTTTTGCGTATATATCACTATATCGTGGCACATGTGCATTGTGATTTGAGTCGTACATAAGTCATTCTCTATAGGCCGGAGAGACACACACACACTGTTCTTTTGCCCTCTATTGCTGGGCCACTTCTCAACACTCTCTGTCTGTCTGTCTGTCTGTCTGTCATGGTTCCTTGATTGCTGGGGACTTTGTGTGTGCGGCCATGCCAAAGTGAGCCGACACACCGCCCATTCGCTCGTGCGTGCGATAATGGTTGCCCTGTGCTTGTCTCTTCCTCTTGGCCGGGTGGGTGGGTGAGCCAAGCGAGACACTAAACCACAACACATCTCATCATACCGCTTCGAGCACTGTCCTCTTGGTTGGGGGGTTTTCGGGCTTGGTTTGCTTACTCGAACGATCGCCTGCCTGCCTGCCTGCCTGCCTGGCTGCTTGAGTCAGCCACACACAACACAACACATCACATCACACCGCCCATCATTCACAACACTGTCCTCTGGGGGGTTCTGGGCTTGATTTGTTTTGCTCGATGGATTGCTGGATTTCCATAGAGTGTGTGGGCCACGCCAAAGTGAGCCATCTTCTATCAGTGCACTGACTGCGTATTGTTGCTGCCACATTCTCACGCACCATCTTTTTATACCTTGGCCACCCAAATCCCACGCCCATAATGCCATTCAGTCGCCGGTCAGTCAGCCAGGGAATCAGCCAGAGAGACGGAGAAGGAAAGGCAGTCGTGGATGCATTGGGCCTTCACAGCTGTGGCGGCTTTGCCATGCAACACAGACATGACGAGGCCTAGGCTGCTCCATTGCCTTCCCTCTAGTTTGATTGATGCATGGCAGCTGCTGCTGCGATTGGCATGGCTTCTGCCGGAGTGTATTGGCCGGCCGTGTGACGACTCGTTACTCTACAGACACTGAAGCGGCCGGTAGTCGTTGTGTCATCAATCTGTTCTGATGTGCTGCGTGTGGGGAGGCTGGCTTGCGCTCTGTGGGGGGAGGGGTGTGTGTGTGTGAGTGGGTTTATGCGTGTGTGTGTACTGAATTGGTGGACACACTTTGATTGGATGTGTGTGAATTCGCCCACTGTAAGTCGGTGCAATTCACACATACGAACATGAACACACGTATACACGTATCATGGGACTTTCCTGGAGTCAACACCACGCCCCTCCAGCCCATCTACTCACACGTCGCTGCAAGTGGGCCCTCCGCCGCAGCTAAGCGAACAGTACAACTCGATGCTGCCAGGTTCTTCACTGTCTACGAATCAACTCACCTAAACATACACACAGACACAAAGAGATGCACCAATGTCATCGAGGCACTCATTGCGTGCATCTTGTGTATTTGTCTCTTTCGCGCTGTGGCTCACTTGCATTGTCTCCTCTCCGCTACTGTGGTATGATGTGGGCGAGTCGGTGTTTCGTGAGGAGAGAGCGGGCGAGCTGCATCGCGGTGGGATAGCGGTCGGATAGTCGCGTCTGGCCCTCGAGCTCCGCCTCGGTGGTGTAGAGGTTGATGATGCCACCGTACAGGTCCAGGTAGGCAGCGACGGTGTCATCCTCCTTCATGCCCTTGAGGATGATGAGTCGCCGCTGCCCGTCATCCCACTCCCCCTCGGTGATGAAGTCGATGGTGGTGTGGCCGTCTATGGGGTCCGTGAGCAGCGACCGATACCGCTCATCGCCACCGCCCACTACCGCCCCAAATACCTGCTTCTCATCCACCCCCTCTTGGAAACACCACTCCACCAAGACCATCCACTTCATGAAGGCCGTGAATGAGGGGAAGAGAAAGTCACCGACGACGTGATCATGGTAGCGGATGGGCGGGTTGTGGGGGTCGTATGTGTGACGGTAGGGGTGGCGGGGAGGGAGGCCGGACAGCGGCAGCGTCTCGAACCGCCACTCGTGCTCGCTGCTTCCAATGCGATAGCGCTGCCGCGTCACCCCACCGTCCCCGTCTCCATCCCCCCCCTCGGCCTCCTTCTTGCCCTTCTTGCCCTCATCGCCATCATCGGGCTCATCCAGCTTTGTGATCGCCAGGCTGGTGCCCTGGTAGTTGAGGAGGTGGCCGAATGTGCTGTACTGGCGAAGGGCGAGGGGCATGGTGTGGAAGTCGGCCTTGGTGGGCAGGTGGGCCGCCATCCACTGGGCCGACATGATCAGCGGCAGGCCAGTCGACGGCGTCAGCTTGTAGATGTCGGCCAGCCGGATGAATTCGGGCCACTCACACCACACCACCCCGCCATGCTCGAGGGCATAGCAGCACTGGCACAGATGACAGAAATGCGACACATGACGGCCACCACCAGCAGCTGCAGGGGCCGGTGCGTCACTGCTGCTGCTGCTGGTGGTCGGAGGGGCTGGGGTGGGTGCCGCCGCATTGGTTGTGTCTGCTGCTGTCCGTTGCACGTCGATGAGGCCGGTCAGCGAGTGGCGGCTGAGGTGCTTGGTGATGCGGCGCTGCACGAAGGCCTCATTGACGAGTTGGCTGCCGTGTGCCCTGCTGATGGGGCGGGCCGAGCAGACGGCCTCGTCGATGGGCAGCCACGGGTAGATGACGTCGCGGCAGACATCAGGCGGCAGGCCGTCGGCCGAGTCGGCGGGCGGGGGCGGCTTGGCCCAGCCGATGGGCCGAATGGTGCCCTTGACGCCATCGTCGACGTCGCGCAGCGCATCTTTAGCCGACGAGAGAGCGGCGAAGACGCTGAGCCACTTATCGCCGAGAAAGGGCGTCTGCACCAAACACACACACAGACAACCAGAGAGAGAGTGACGGCTGCAGTACTCTCGTGTTTGTGTGTGTGTGTGTGTGTGTCTGGTTGACCTGTGCGGCGACTGTGGTGTTGAAGAGCTGCTGCACACCGGCAGCCTCTCGTGTGACCTGCAGGCACCGCGCACACACACAGCGGATGAGAGCACACCAGCAGTGAGGCCATTTGGCCTCTAATGCGCCACGTGCCTGATCTATGTGTGTGTGCAGCGATGCGATGCGCTCCTCCAGACGAACCAAACCCTCGCTGATGGACTGCAGCACACACACACAGACACGATGAATGATGGACGTCTGTGTGCTCTCTTGAATGAATGCGTTCGCTTGTCGGATGCTCACCGGTGTGTTGTCATTTGCAGCGGCCGAGTCGCCGCCTTGTGTGTGGGGACGCTTTGGCTCTCCTTCACCGCTCATGCTCGACAACCACAGGTACTGCCAGTCAGAGAATAGGAGGAGGGAATGAATGCACTGGTGATGCAGCTGGAGCTCGAAGAGACCGAAGAATAGTAGAAGCTCGCAATTAGGCTCGCAATCAAACAATGGAAGAAGAGGAGAAAAGAGGAAGATGGAGAGGGGCAAAGGGATGACATCGGTGCCTATAGGTGGGCGGAACCGCTAATTCGCCCTGATGATGGATAAGTGTTCCTCTCGCGCCCTTTCAGCTCCGCCTGAGGCGCCGTTTCCGCTCCGTGGCGCCTGTTGATCATCGATCAACCAGCGTGTGTTTGAGATGTCTGGTGCTGACGGCTCCAAGCGCCAGCGCATCGACGGGTTTGCCGAGGGTAGGAGAGGACGGCGACACCGACGATACAGACAGACATACAGAGAGGATGTCTCGTGCTGTGTAATGTGTCGTCAGATCGGCAAATGAGGGGATTGTCATCGCAGCCGCAGATGGACGTGACCGGTGACGCATCGGTGGGCGGTCTCTCCCACGCACATTTGACCGCCCTTTGTGTGCCCGTCACGGCTGTGTGTGTTTGTCTTGTGTGTCTGTGTGCAGACGGCAGGTGGTAGCTTTAGCTTTGATGAGCTGCAGCGACGCTTCTCAGTGCTGCTGGCACAAGTGACACAGGTAAGAGATACGACGATGACACACATACACACAGCTGGGCATTTGTTGTGGCTGCATGTGTTGGTCAGGTGGAGCGTGATGTGTCGGTTGCAGAAGGCTCATTCGCCGCTGATGTTGCTCCGAATGTACGTGGGACATCCAGCCATCACCACCGCCGCCATGACTCATTCCTCTCTGTCTGTGTCGATGGCCTCAGGTGCCGTCTGCTTCTCTCACTGGTCCACCCTCAAGAGCAGCATCTCGGCCGCCTCTTGCGCCCTCACCGCCATCACACAAGGCATGGCGGCCACTCGCCCACCCTCCACCCCTCCCTCAGCCCCCCATCCATCGCCGCCAGATGCCCATGCCGCCCCCACTCACACCACATACACTGGAGGTGCTGCTGATGCCGACAACGCGGCTCGTCGCACGGAGAACCGCCTGCCGACAGATCTCTATCGCGACCACATTGTCGGGTTCCTCCCCATCAGTGACGCAATCAGCCCGGCAAGGGCGGCAAACACGTTCTACGGGACCGAGCTCATCAATGAGGACTTCGTGCTGCGCCGCGTCGACACGCACCTCAGCCGCCACTCGCTGACCGGCCTCATTGACGTGCAGCGCCCGACACTTCAGTACTACACCAAGTGCGCCCATGCACTGGAGCAGGGTGGGGCGGTGTGGTGTGAGTGGGCCGACTTCATCCGGCTGGCTGACATCTACAAGCTAACGCCCTCGACTGGCCTGCCGCTGATCATGGCGTCCCAGTGGATGGCGGCCCACCTGCCCACCAAGGCCGACTTCCACACAATGCCCCTCGCCCTTCGCCAGTACAGCACATTCCGCCACCTCCTCAACTACAGGGGCACCAGTCTGGCGCTCACAAAGGTGGATGAGGCCGACGACGATGACGGTGAGGGCAAGAAGGAGGCCGAGAGGGGGGATGGAGAGGAGCGAGAGGAGGGAGAGGCAGAGACGCAGCGGTATCGCATCGGACGCGGCGAGCACGAGTGGCACTTCGAGACGCTGCCGCTGTCCGGCCTCCCTCCCCGCCATCCCTACCGCCGCACATACGACTCTCTCAACCCGCCCATCCGCCACGGTGACTGGCTCCTCCCCTCATTCACGGCCTTCATCCGACGGATGGTGTTGTGGCACTGGACTGACCAAGAGGGGGTGGACGAGAAGGGGGTATTTCGGGCGATAGTGGGCCGTGGCGATGAGCGGTATCGGTCGCTGCTGACGGACCCCATAGACGGCCACAAGACCGACGACTGCATCTGCGAGTGGGAGGGGGATGATGACCACTCCCGATTCATCGTCCTCAAGGGCACGGAGGACGACACCACCGCTACCTATCTGTACCTGGCCGATGGCTTCATCAACCTCTATACGACCGAGGCGGCGATCGAGGGCCACACGCGGCTGGCCGACCGCTATCCCGTCGCCGTTTCATTGGTCCGCGCCCTGTTGACCGAACACCAACTCGCCCACATCATACCACACTACGTACCACACTGATCGAGCTACGACAGGTGAGCCATGGGGGAGGGCGATGTCGCCCAGAGCCATGGGGGAGGGCGATGTCGCGGGGTAGCTTAGCTAGTTTTGAAGAGGTGAAGGGACGCTGCTGACGCTGCTGACAATGCTGACACAAGTGAGAGATACGACCATGACGACACACAGCTGGGCCTTGGGCTGGGGTCAGGTGGGGTGTGATGTGACCACCATTAAGGGCTTGTTCCTCGCCAATGTCGCGCCCAAGGTCAGAGAGGTTATCCCATCACCACCGCAGCCATGACTCATTCCTCTCTGTCTGTGTCGATAGCCTCAGGTGCCGTCTGTTGCCTCTCACTGGTCCACCCTCAAGAGCAGCATCTCGGCCGCCTCTGGCGGATGGGTCGTGTGTCGACACGTGACTGACTTGTGTATATGTGAGGATCCATGCCCTGTAGTATATTGATCGACCACGGCCAAGATGATGGATATAGATATATAGAGTAGATTGAATCAATCAATCCATCCATCCCCTCTCTTCTCTTCTCTTCTCTTCTCTTCTCTTCTCACCCTTATCAACTTAACTTCATCGCCATGGCCATGGCATTCATTGCAGCAATGCGTCATTCGAATGAGTGTTTCTTCTGTATCATCATTCATTCTCCACACATTGGACCACACGCAGTCGAATCAGTCAATCCAGCAGCACCGGCCGCTGGAAGCGGCCCAGCATCAACAGAAATGGCAAGAGAGCGCGCCCTTTCTGACTGACGGTGTCCCTCGAGTGCAGTGCAGCCCGCCAGTGATGTGGTTGGCGGATGTCTCTTGGTGCGGCGGGCGGTGTGTTTGTGTGCGGCTGCTGGTGTGGGCGTGAAGGTGAGCAAGAGGGCGTGTGTATATTGGGTTCGGCAGCACGCCATGTGTGTGTGTGTGTGTGTTGAAGGGGGGGGGGGGGGGGG